CAGAGATGTGTATAAGAGACAGGTTTTATCACGTTTCCATCGTATATTCTTTTAACAGTCGACAAAATCTTGATATTATGTACAGAGAAATATTTGTTAAATTTATTTTTAATTTATAATATTTGTATACCACTGAAGAGGACCATATTAAAGGTCGAAACGTTTGGTTTGTTTTATATTTATATCTATATGTATTATTAAAAAAACCTATTAAAGTTACTTGAATTGTAATATTGACAAGAACACCTAATTAGGCTCGTTAGCCCTCTTTTTATTATTTATGATTTTAAATCGTGAAGCCGGTTAAGTTCTTTATTTTAATTTTGAATACATTTTATTTTGTATTATTTAATTAATCTAATATTCTATTGCACATGTACTTGTAAAAAATTTTGTGTAAAATTTTGGCAATTTTTAATAATTTTATTCTTATATATTTTAACTATTACAGAATGGTTCAGTTCAATTAAAATTCAAGACGTTCCTACAAAAGAGACTGCAAAGTAATAAGATACGGATTCTGTTGAGCACCATTATTTGTCATTATTTTAATATAAATCATGAAAATCAATTGTACACAATTAATTATAAAGATGCATTATTTCTTTTTTCTGGGAAGTAAGTAATTTTCTTATATATATGTATATATATGTATATATGTATATATATGTATATATATACATATACATATGTATATATATATGTATATATATATACATACATACATGTGTGTGTGTGTGTGTGTGTGTGTGTGTGTAATATTTTATAGCAAACTTATAAAGACATAAAAAAATTTAGCGTTATATACACAATATTGAAAATTTAAATTTAGAGTTTTATTTACAATATCATATCATAGGAAATCTATATCATAGGAAATCTATCATATCATAGGAAATCTATATCATAAAATTTTTTAGTTGTAAGAGATATATATGAAATAATTTGAAAAAATGTTAAATTTTTATTAGTTTAGAAAATTTAACTATTAAATTAATAAATTTAATTACAATTATTCTTCTTATTTTAGGTGCAGGTCCTTTTTTCCCATTTATACTAGTTTACGGAAAGCAACTTGGTATTTCACCACTAATTATTGGTAGCATTACAGCAATTTTGCCTATATTGTGTCTAATAGCAAAACCAATGTCCGGCTTCATCATGGATTATTTTCAAGCACGGAGAAAAGTGATCTTTCTAGCAATGTTTATTACATCAAGTGTCTGTTCCATGTCAATCTTCTTTTTACCGCCATTGCCAGGTCCAATGCTATCTGAAAATCATTTTCAAAATGTATCTTGTGAAACATTACCGTTTTGCGATATAGAATACGTAAGTTTTCATTTTTTCACAATTTTCGCGCAATTCACAATCTTTTATTAAATTTAATAAAATTTATATAATGTTATTTGATAAAAACCTGATAAAACTCTATGTAAATTTGTGCGTTTATTTTTATATATTATTTTACATAATTTAAAAATTTTTGGATGTTAAAAGTTTCTAAAATATATTTATTTATATAATTTAAAATACATTGTAACACATGAAATATCTTTCCTTAAAAGTATAAAAAATAAATTATATCTTTAATAATATTTAATTATTGATATTTTACAATAATAATTGTGTGTTTAATTTTATTTTTAATTTGTTCTTTATTTAAGCATGCATCGGAAATTAAATCATGTAACGGTACAAAAGACACTACGTGCCATTGGGTTTGCAAGTTTACGAATTTTTCTATGCAATTGTCTTTTCACTCAGATCGAAAAAAAGCAATTATTTCACCAGATACTACATGCTTATTAAATATCAATGAGACATCATTATGTCAAGGAAATGTAGCGACCAATTGTAACGTTACCTGTGATAGTTTTAAAGACGATCAATGCTTATATACATCTTACATCT